AAAAGCACTACTTTTATAATGTTTAATAGTCCCTCGTTCAAAGTATTAAATATAGTCAAGAAATTCGTTACTTACATTACAAAGTAAACAAAGAAATGTACTTTTGTGTGGTTGTACTGGCAATATTTCAGAAACAGGTTGGGGTACAAACCAAATGGTTGACTTTCTTTACTGCACAGTATGTTTCTTACAGAGCCTTTCTTTGTAGCAGATTCAGATGTGGAAATAGTTCCCTTGATTGAAAATATTACCTCCTTATATGTGGCGCTGTAGGATAAGTACGAGTCTGCTAGCAACAAGGTTGGCAGTTCAAAATAACTCCTGGGAAACCCTATACAGAGTCGCTATGAGTTGTAACCTATCTGATGGCTTTTAGCATCAACAAATGACATTTAAAAGGAGCCCTGGCAACCTGATGGTTAAAAGCACTTGGCTGCTAACCAAAAGTTCAACAGTTAGAAACCTACCAGCTGCTCTGCAGGACAAAGATGTAGCAGGCTGTTTTCAGTAAAGACTGACACCCTGGGAACCCTATAGAGCAATTCTACTCTGTCATTCTGGGTCACTTCTAAGTTGGAATTGACTTTTGGGTAGTGAGTTTGGAAATATGCTGTTAAAAACCATAATAAACAACTGACTGCTGTTAAGTTGCTTCTGAGTCCTGGTGAGCCCATGCATTTCTGAGTAGAACTGTGCTCCCGAGGGTTTTCAGTGACTGCACACTTATAGATTTGGATGGTCAGGCCTTTCTTCAGTAGTGCGATGAGTGGATTTGAACAGATGCCTTTCCAGTTAGTAGTCAAGCCAAACTGTTGCCACTACTCAGGCTCCTTTCTATAATATTACCCCCTTTAATTTTCATTCTATCAAGTTCACATTGAAAATTAGATCTTTTGAACTACAAATATCTTTTGAGCAAGTTAAGATTTTGTTATCTGAGATGCAGTTATTATCACTTGAAGCCATTTGCTTGGAAGTGACAGTATGAAAGAACTGTTTCCTGGAAGTTGGATGAGAATTGCTTCTAAAGGGCAAGGTTTGTCGATTTCTCCTTCATTACCAGTATCGAGTTCTTTTGCCATTGAAAAGCCTGCTTGCACACACCTTAGCCCACAATATCACCTATATCAGATGTCTTGTTTTTGAAATGAATTTAGATGATCTAAGCCCACTCGTTCTGTGTGTTAATTCTATAGAATTTGACAGGGTAAAACTGTGGTTTGTGTTGTTTTTAGTATCTCCTTTCGTATACCCCTTTACATTTTTCAAATTAATTTTTTACTTTTGATACTTGTAGTATTACTTGCAGTTGTAAGAAATAGTATGGTGGGCTCCTGTGTACCTTTTATTTAGATTATTACATCTGTGGTCATATCTTACAAAACTACAGTATAATGTAACAAGGAATTGTAACAATTTACCAACCTTACTCCTATTTCCCCAGGAGTACTCTTACTCTCTCTCTGTGTGGACTTAGTCCTGTACAGTGTCATCACTGTGTGTGTGTGTGTGTGTGTGTGTATAGTCCTGTACAGTGTCATCAGTGTGTGTGTGTGTGGATATAGTCCTGTACAGTGTCATCACTGTGTGTGTGTGTGTATAGCCCTGTGCAATGTCATCACTGTGTATGTGTGTTTGTGTATAGTCCTGTGCAGTGACATCACTGTGTGTGTGCCCACCCCCACCATACAGTCAGCACTGAGAATAGACCCATCCCCACAGGACCTTCCTTAAGCTGCCCTTTTAAAACCATGCTTTTTTTCCTTTTTTAAAGAGAGTCATTTGTTTTCTTTTAAAGTCAACCATGTATGGTCTCAACATTAAATAAATATCTTTGAAATTTACTAAATTAAAAAACAAACCACCCCTCATTACTTAATCAATTCCGACTCATAGTGACCCCATATATGGTTTCCAAGGTTTCAAATCTTTATGGTAGCAGAAAGCTTCCTCTTTTTCTCATGGAGTGACTGGTGGGTTTGAACTGTGGACCTTTCAGTTTGCAGTCCAGTGCTTTTCGTACTTTGCTACCAGGGCCCTTATTTTAAATTTAATACTGTGTTTTCATAAACAAATTCAAACTAATCTATTTTAACTCTCTTTATTTTATCACTATGTTGACTTTCAATTTATACTTGCTAGAGAATCAATTAACGGCTGGACTACAAGGTCAGTTTGAGCCTCAAGGTTGGCAGGTCAAACCACCAGCCACTCCTTGGAAACCCTATACAGGCTTACTATAGGTCGGAACTGACCCGGCAATGTTAATGACAACAGAGAGTAAATAGGACTCCTGGTGTGGCACTATAGGGTCATCACTGGACTGCTAACCATTAGGTCAATGGTTCAAACTCACCACTACTTGCAGACTCTATACAGGATTGATGTTAGTCAGAACTGACTCCATGCACTAACAACTACAGAGAGTAAATGAGGTGGCACAGTGATTAAAATATTCAGCTGCCAAACAGAACGCCCGTGGTTCAAACCTCCCAGCCCTGTGCAGGAGAAAGATGGGGCAGTCTGCATCTGTAAATAGTCATATCCTTGGAAACCCTATTGGGCAGTTCCACTCTGTCCTTACAGGGTCTCTGTCAGTCAGTGGACTGGATGGCAGTGGATATGTGTTTTGGTTTGAGAGTAAATACTGAGTAGAAATAGCTGATAAGATTCTGAACATTATAGAATGATTTCATAGAAGGATCATTTTCAAAGTAACACCCAGACATTTTGGAGTCAACTCTTTGTTACAAGTAACAGAAACCTTACTTGAACTAGTTTAAATTAAAAGAAGAATTTTGTTACAAAGTGTGCTTATGGATAAGGAATTGTCCAAATTCATGAAGGAAGAGAATACGGATCAGCATGTGGTTGGTTCTTATGAGGCAGGGGTAAGGTTTATCTTTGCCTTCCCACGTCTCCAGTATTTCTGACACCAGCTGCTATTCCCAGCACACTCTGCTTCTTTGCAGGGTTTGATAGTTCATTGCAGTGGCCTCACAGAACTCACAAACCATGCTCACAGTGACAGGGTACAACTTGGGATCAAGATCTACTTGAAAGGAACAACTTGGAATGAGTGTTAGGAAGCACATAGGCAAGATCTGGAAGGCTCCCTCAAAGCAGAGCACAACCTTCTGTTCTTCAGTTCAGGCCTCACCACTGCAGCCGGCCCTGCTCATAACCATTGGAGCAGCTTCAAGACCACTCTGCTCCCTCGAAGCGCGGCCGGCCCAGGGCCTAGTAAGCCTTAGGACACAATGCCTTCCTGGCTCCTGTGAACTTAATCGGCCTCCTGACCCTCTGCATTTCAGCCATTTATATACCCTAGTCTTCATCAGTTATAAGGCATGGTCTGTCTCTCCAAGCCAGAGTTCTCAGTTAACTATGGGATGTCACTTAACTCAGATCTTGAACAAAAGGAATGTGTTCTGCTGGCAGAAAGTCACTTCTCTCAAGTATCAACTCTGTTGGGGTAGAAAGCAACCTGGGAGCCCCCCCCACCCCACCCCAGGATGCTTCTCCAAATAGCTAGAGCAAAGGTAACAGCTACTTTGGGTTTATTGGGGAAACCTCTCAAGCTGTTTATTCAAAGAATTAAGTCAAAAGGTCACATGAAGGAGCTCATTATATCACACAAGAAAATTGGGATGTTTCCTTGACTCCAAGGGTAGTAATGCTGCAGGGTCTTAGAAATCCCGTAACTCAGGGACTTGGTCAGCGCTCACCTTTGTATAATTCATCAATGCTGCTTTCTTCCTCCTTCTTGGCTTTTATCATCCGATGATGAAACCACTGCTGTACACAAATCCTGAGCTTTCTGCTTTAGTTACCCAAAGACTGAGGAGACTCGTTAGCTGCCAACTCCCCAATTCCCAGGGAAGGAAACCACTGCCTGCCTTGAGCATTTGCCTGCCCCATTGCAGCTCACCCCAAGTATGGCTAGAGTTAATGCAAGGACACAGCAGTTTCTGTGGGAATGATACGGATTGATGAAGAGGTAACTGGGTATCTAGAAGGAAAGGGAACAGAAACTCGAGAAACACAATGCAAGGAGTGCTCCTCAGCTGTTTATAGCAGGGGTGGTAGTGGTGTTCAGTGCTGTCATTTGGTTCTGATCCATAGCAGCCCTACATAGGGTTTCCAAGGGGTGGTTGGTGAACTTGAATTGCTGACCTTGCGGTTCAAACTGACTTTGCAGTCCTGCACATTAACCTGCAGCTTCACACTGGATTCAATTAATTAATTGAAAATTTCTGGGTAAGAACAAGTAAAATGGCCAGCGGCCAAGAATTGGGGGGAAAAAAATCTGACTGATAGAAAAGAGTTGAGATCCAAGAGGAGAATTGTTTGAAATTCATAAAATCATGAAAGATAATAAATTAACTGCTTTGGGGGATAGTTTGTATTAGGGCTATTTGGGAGGGGTAGTTTTGTTTTGGAAGGAACCCTAGTGGCACTGTAGGTGAGGTAGTGGGCTACTAACAGCATGGTCAGTGGTTCAAACCCACCAGCCATTCCTGGGGAGAAAGATGAGACTGTTGGCTCCCATAAACGTTTACAGTCTCAGAAATACTACATAGGGTCTCTATGAGTTGGAATTGACTTTATGACAGTAGATTTGGGTTTGGTTTGGATCATTGATATTTAGTGTAAAAAATAGAAACTATATTATCAAGTAGCAAATTATGTAACATATTTTTTAAGAGGTTTGCAAATTCTATATAACAAGGACTTATTAGACCAATTGATGGATAGCTAAATAATGGGGCCATTTAGGGAAATTAGGATCTTGCCTTTACCTTCTGAAATCATGGAGTGAATCATTGCCCTGTCAGACATTAGTGGGGATGGTCATATTTAGAATTTACTTAGTACTTGTGTGGCATGTACTGTCTGATTTAGTCTATCCCCAAATCATGGATGCTCATGCTTTGCTAAAGTGAAATATCTGAGATGTATTTCAACAGAGTGGTTGACCTGCCTCCTTTTCCTTGCAGAGATGTGGTACTGGATCTTCCTGTGGGCCCTCTTCTCCTCTCTGTTTGTCCACGGTGCTGCAGGAGTCTTGATGTTTGTGATGCTGCAGAGGCACAGGCAGGGCCGCCTCATCTCTGTCGTCGCCATCAGCATCGGATTTCTGGCTTCTGTCACTGGAGCAATGATTACTAGTGAGTTGATTTTGTCTTGTTTAAAGGTATCATTTTATATGTGTGTGTCATTTTGGCTAAAACAATAAATCTGTTTTGGAGGAAGTGCAGCCAGAGTGCTCCTTGGAGGCCAGGATGGCTAAACTTCGTCTCTCCTACTTTGGACATATGTCCGGAGGAAACAATCGCTGGAGAAGGATGTCATGCTGGGTAGGGTGGAGGGTCAGAGAAAAAGAGGAAGACCCCCAACGAGATGGATCAGCCAGGTGGCATCATTGATGGACTTGGGTGTGGCAGCGGTAGTGAGGTTGGCCCAGGATCGGACATTGTTTCGTTCTGCTGTGCATGGGGTCACTATGAGTCGGTTCCGACTCGATGGCACCTGACAACAACAAAGTCTCACTGAATGTAACATTAGTGTAATCTTTCATGGATAATTTTTTCAGCATCATACAAGCTTCACCTCAAAGTTAAAGATTAATTCATTTATCCCTTGAACATAGGATTTTTTTGTTTGTTTCTATATCTTTATTTGAACATATGATATTTGTTCTACTGTGTAAAGACTCATTATATAAAGTTCTGTGGGAAATAGAAAAATTTATAAGAATTGGCAAAGGGCAAAATAGTACAATGGGAGAATTTGTGCTTATAGTGACTAATTTACTTAAGAGGAGCTCACTGTTTTGTAAAGGAGAAAGGTAGGCACAAAAACATGACAGTGATAATTTTTATAAAAGAGTGAAAATATAACCTTTGGTCTTTGCTGTCATCTACCTGTGTGGCTACAAAATAAAATTTCACTTACCTCTGTATACCCAAATTATGGCGGCACAAAATCTCCCCTTGCCCATTAGAAACTGACCGCTTCAGAGCATCTTTTAGTTACTTGTAAGTTTCCTACTATGCTTCCCTATGTGCATTTTCCTCTTCAAGTCCCCTAAATTCATTCTCTTTGGCTTTCTCCTGTCAACACTACACTACGTCTCCCACCTTGGGCTTGAACGGATAATTCTGGTTGTTTCTGCTTTTAGTTGAAGCAGTACTTACATTAATGCTGGTGAGAGTGGAGGGTGCTTAGGCCCACACGGGCTGCTTCTCTGTGCTGCTATTGCTTCTGTATTCCCAGTGAATGATAGAAGCTTAGATGGCTCTTCACTCCTGGCACACTTCTGTCTGCCTGGGACAGCCCCCTCCTCTCACTGCCTCGGTTTTGTGGGACTCTCCAGTAGCAACACCCTCCTTTCCAGTTGACTCTTCCATCCAAAGATGAGAAGATATCTTTTATTGTATAGTCGAAGTTCTCCCTTCTTTTCCATCCCAGGATCACCTTTTCCCAGGCTGACTGACAGACCTTGCTTTGAGGCAAAAGTCCTGCTTTTTTTGCCTCATGTTTCTGGGTGTGATCTTGTTGTATGACACTAATAAGACACCCATAGAATAGTGGTGGGGACATTGCAGTCTATTTTCTTTTCCTTCATTTACTCGTGTTTTTTCTGCATTGTATTGTGTTGGGTTAATGTTGTTGCAACTGCTGCATCTTTCTGTCACTGTATCTTGTGGTACCTCATTCATTATGCCATAGATAGGGTGTTAAATCAGTACTCTAGTTAACTCAAATACAGGATATGTGTTGTGGATCCATTGGCGGTTCATCTGAAAGATAGAAAGGAGCCACCTTCTAAAGGGTCATGGAAGGTCAACTAGGACCCTACAGTCCATGAAAAACAAGTGGATTTCCAGTAGGGTTGGCAAGGGGGAAAACAGGACATTTATTCTTACAGTTGATTATAAAATAAATGAGAAGGGAACAGTCAAGTGACAGCTCTAAATGAGCAGGTTCCCAGCACCTGTCTATTTAAATAGATAATAACTACTGATTGGTTGGAAGAATGGATTGAAGGAGGAAAAGAGAGGAAAGAAAGGAAAAGGATTAGGATAGAATAGGAAAGGTTAAGGAGAGGGAAGGAGAATTAAGAAAAATTTTGCTGTAAACTAAGCTTGAGGTCAGCATCTGAATTAGAGTAAAGGCAGCGGTTGGAAAGGCAGGAATTGCTGTAATAGCTGTGGCAAAGGAGAAAACTCCAAAGTAGTAGTTTACTTGCTGTGGTGGCATCCAGAGAAGCACAAAGACGAGTGACAGTGCTTTTGGTGTTAAGTGTGGCACTATGACCAGGGAAGGAAGGAAGAACCCTGTGTTCAGAAGCTGCGTGCACGTGTGCGTGTGCACGTGTGTGCATGCACGTGTGTGCATGCACGTGTGTGCATGTGTGTGTTTATTCTCATAAACTGTCTTAAAAGTTGAAAGCGAGCATGAGATGCAATTTTATGTACATTTATATCTAAGGACATGTGTGTCTCTCTCACTTTAGTCAAGAATAAAATAAGCTTGTGGCTTTTAAAACTACAATGTTTAAATACATACATGTATTTATACACACACACACACACACACATATGTGTTGTTGTTAAATGCCATCGAGTCAGTTCCAACCCATAGCGACCCTGAACAGGGTTTCCGAGGCTATAAATCTTTACTGGAGCAGATAGCCTCATCTTTCTCCCATGGAGCAGCTAGTAGTTTCAAACTGCTGACCTTGTGGTTCACAGTCCGATTCATAACCACTACGCTACCAGAGCTCCATATATATATATATATATCTTGTATAGGGTTTCTGAGGCACTGCTGGTGAGCTTGAACTGCCAGCCTTGCAGATCAAATCAACTCTGTAGTCCAGTGCATTCATTAATCCAGGCCCCACACCAAGACCTTTTCTTGTGAACTGAATGAATGTTTATAGTTTTGCATTTGACAAACCACACTTTGTTTCATCTCAATGACTGCAATCCCCTCCATGTAACATCAGTTTTCCTGCTTCTCCCTGTTGTTCTTATTACCATTCCACCCTCCTTCCCTTCCTTTTTCAACTTCATCCTTAGGGAAGTGTTGCCCTTTGGATCTTGAACGACTGACCATTCCATGGTGAGTGTGCCTTACTAGTGTTCTTGTCTCCCCATACACCTGTCTACTACTTGGCTGAAAATTGAGCCATGAGAGTGAGTTTCATTCCAGACCTGAAGGGTGGCAGTTGTCCATAGTCTTGGGTTCCTCCTGCCTCTTTCTGATGAATAAACTTGGTCTTTTTTCAATAATTTTGAATTTTGTTCCACATTTTCTCCCACTCTACCCGGGACCTTCTGATGTGATCCATTTCAGAATAGTTAAGAGTGGTAGCTGGGCCCTATCCAGTTCTTCTGATCTCAGAGTCATGGTGACAGATGTTCACATGTTCCATTAGTCCATTGGACTAGTTGATTCCCAGCATCTTCTGATTTTTATCGCTATTCTTTCTTCCACACCTGTGGAGACAGTTGCTGCTCAACAAAGTAGGATGTAGAACATTCCTGTGCTGAAATTCCAATCACTTAATTTAAGTTACTTCTCTTGATAGAGTCCCACATAAATCCTGGGCTTTCTAAAGATTTGTTTTTTTTCCTGATTGTTCCTCTAACACAGGTGTGGGAACCTTTTTTCTGCCAACGGTCATTTGGTTATTTATAACATCATTTGTGGGCAATACGAAATTATCAACTTAAAAATTAGCCTGCTATATTTGGTCAAACATTTAATTAACTCATCCCTAATGTGACGGCATTCTTGGATCAATTATCAACTCTCACGGAAACAGCAGTCAAGAAATCAAACAATGTATTGCATTAGGCAAATCTGTTGCACAAGACCTTTTTAAAGTGTTGAAGAGCAAAGATGTCAACTTGAGGACTAAGGTGTGCCTGACCCAAGCCATGGTATTTTCAGTAACCTCATATGGATGTGAAGGCTGGACAGTGAATAAGGAAGACCATAGAAGAATTGATGCTTTTGAGTTATGGTGTTAGAGGAGAATATTGAAAGTGCCATGGGCTGCCAAAAGAACCAATAGATCTGTGTTGGAAGAAGTGCAGCCAGAGTGCTCCTTGGAGGCCAAGATGGCCAAAACTTCATCTCTCATACTTCGGACTTGTTGTCACAAGGACCAGTCTCTGGAGAAAGGATATCATGTTTGGTAAGGTGGAGGGTCAGAGAAAAAGAGGAAGACCCCCAATGAGATGGATTGGCCAAGTGGCAGCATCTATGGACTCAAGTGTGGCAACCAGTAGTGAGGTTGGCCCAGGATCGGGCAGTGTTTCGTTCTGCTGTACATAAGGTCGCTATGAGTCGGTACTGACTCGATGGCACCTAACAGCAACAACAATGTGACGGCTGGAACTGTGGTTGCCTTGGCAGGACCAGCCCACAGACTGGATGTTCATTACCCTGCTTTAGCAGATGAACATTAAGAGATTTATTTTATCTTTAAACTCACTTGATTTGACCTTCCATTGATTCAGTTCTACTTCTTTGTCCTTTCAATGTATTTTCTATTTTTTGAAGTCTAAGTATTCATCATCTAGCTTTCTAACTGCTGCTTTTATATGGTTTCCAATTTTTCATTTATTTTCTTTGTTTGTGTAGCATTTACCTGAATTCTTCTAAATTTTGTCTCTGTTTTCCTTGATTCCATCTCTAGTTTCTCTGTCATTCTCTCAATTTGTTGAAAGTACCTAAATATCATTCTTTTAAATTCCTTATCAAGTACTTTCAATGCCAATTCTAGTAGTATATTTTCTGACTGTGCTTTGATCACCTATTTGAAGCACTCTGACTTGTTTCTTCACGTAAGCTGAAATTGTTTTTCTCCAAGACATTTTGATGTCATTGAATTTGTGTTTCATTGCTGATTGAATGTGGTTGTGTTCTCAGGCACTTACCACTGGTGGATGTGATAGAGACTACAAGTGTGAAGGCACTTCTTTGTTCGATGTTTGGTAATGAGCCAGATAGTAAACATTTTAGGCTTTGTGGACCAAATGATCTGTCACAACTATTTAGCTCTACTATTTTTTAAATGTTTATTGTGAATTATGTGGTAGTTTACGTGGGAGAACATTAGCTTTACATTCATCCTATCCTATATCGATTC